AAGCGTCAAACCACTTCAAAAGAGAAAATTTGTAGTTGCAAACCGTACAGTTAAACGTCATCACTGCAGTTGTAATGCAATTTTGAAAAAACTCTGATTTATGTTTTCTAAGACTGTGAATATAGCTATGAAATAATTTGCCCATTTTTTATTACTCAGGCCTACCCTAATGAAACTGTCAAAATGCATTATATAAAGGGGCAAGATAAATAATAATGTATAGCTGCATACGTTACAAATGTTATTTCGTATTTTTATCAATCAGACTTTCTGTTTGCATTTTCCCTCACATCATATCTGCTCTGATAACTCTTTGCATGAAGTTGCAAAGTGAAGGACCTGTCCTGCATTCTCAATGGAAGTTCGTCAATAGACAGTGATATTTTCATATACTACCTAAATCATAGGCCTTTTCATTACACTCACATTAATAAAAGAAAGACTACAGTCAGGAGTTATTCTTGGCTATTTTAAATTATGTATTTTTCTCATTAAATCAGGCCCGTTTAAGGGCAGGTGTAACACTTAATGACTGCCCTTTTTCTTTTCACAAAAAAAGAGCCAAAGAGAGGTTTTTACATAATTTCCAGGCTCATCTCATCAAGTGGCTTTATAAAGATGTGCAAGACTGTATTTAGTGCATTGAAATTGAAAGACTAAAAACTCTGTTCGTGTTTATTGTTGCTGTTGAATCATGCAGTATGATTCAACAGCATGATTCATGCTGTTGAATCATACTGCATTATTCAACAGCAACAATTATTGTTGCTGTTGAATCATGCAGTATATCATCTTATGAGAGCTGGCAGCATGACTGCTCCTGTCGTAATGATTATGATCAACTGCTTATTGGCTGTGCCCTCTTTCTGCACGGCAGCACCAACATTCAGACTTGTTGCTTTGAACAAACTTCTGCATGGAGAGCCATGCAGAAGCAGCAGCTAAACCAAGGATGACCCACCAAATATATTACCTCTATGATCTCATGTTTAAAAGGTCAAGTGTTGTCCTGAGGAAAAAGTGTTTTTTTTATATATATTAAGGGCCTTGTTGTTGCAGTCTCAGTAACCCGAAGGTTTGCGTGGAGGTGTCTTACAGATTTAAAAGAAACATCCTAAAATGTTTTGACAGATTGAGATTTTTGATCTAAATTCAAAGTTGAAGCATCAAACAAATTTTTAGCTCATGATACTTCGGCTAACTGTGATAATTATGACTCCATGTTGGAAAGCAGTATATATTTAAGAAGAAGAAAAACTGGCACTGCTTCTGATGGAGCAATGTTCTCCAAGACTGTCTTTAGTCAGTGACGGTTGCTGTCCAAGTGGCATTGATCTATATCTCATCCTGTTGGAAGATTTGTACATAAATTATCATTGCTTAGTTTAAAAAGGTTCTTTATCCTAAATGATTTATCATTAAAAGACATTTTCATTTATTTAGTTTGGTGAACTTTGATAGAAGTGGTTTGAATAATTTTCATATTTATCATCAGTGTTTTATAAACTATTAACAGAATTGTCATCTTGTCTTAGAGTTGCATTTGGGTGGTTGCTATGCAGGCTGAGCAGGAACTTGTGTGCGTGCGGAGGTGTTCTGGGAAGAGTGCTGTTCGCACCCCAGCCAATCTTCTTGTCCTTGAGTGCCAGATGTGGATGTGTGAGCTGTATCAGTGTCTGGATAGAACCAGTTTTATTCAGTAGGACTTGTATTTGTGAAACTGTGTGTAGCCACACCCACGATGCTGTAACATGAGCATGAGTTTTTTTTCCTTTCTTTAATAAAAGGCTGTGACACAGGGCACCTCCTCTGAGACAATGGACTGTCTCTCCCTGGCCAACCAAAGATAACTTTGACTCACTTGTGTCTTCATTGCATACCTTCTCTGAGTTTATCAGTGTGTCTAACTCTGAGACATCCCCACATAAAAAAGAAAGCTTGGATTTGTTCTACTTTGTTTACAGTCAGTAATGCGGATAAAAGACATCCTCATCTCCATAATAACGATAATAATAATGTACAATATATTAAAAATGTAAATAGCAAACCAAACATGTTAATTTTCTTTTTAGGATTTAAAGATTAGTAAAATATTATTGTGCTGCAAGAACAAAATATCAGTCTGTTCCTGCACCCCTTGTTCAGGACATTCTGAGCAGAACATTTTGGTTGTGTGGTGTCCAAGAACTATTGGGTGATTGGTCATAAATGTAAACTGTGTGTGGTTGGTACACTGATAAATGCTTTACTGGGAGGAACCTAGGAGGACATCCTAAGAGTTCTGCATTTGAGTTCTTGTGAGGTTTGAAATGTCCTGGCCAGCCAGAAAGAGCTTTGTTCTTGCTACCTTGAGTAAAATGATAAATGTTTCTGTTCTGAAATTGCGAAGATTCTGGAAATTGGAATGGAATTACATGGAGAGAAATAATTTTGTGATAAATCAAATCCTGTCCTGTGTTTGAAGTTCATCCATTTTCTATACCCGCTTCTTCCGCACAGCGTCACTATCTCCAGTGGTCTAAGGGGAAAGGGGGGGGCTTAAACTCTGAAAAGGACGCCAGTCCATCACAGGGTCACACAGGACAAACAATGAAGGGCAATTTAGAAAGACCAGTTAATGTTACAGTCATGTTACGTTTGTGGACTGTGGAAGAAAACCAGAGTACCCACTAATGCACAGGGAGAACATGCAAACTCCATGCAGAAAGACCCCTGGTTGGGAATTGAACCCAGGACCTTCTTGCTGCAAGGCAACAGTGCTACCAACTGCACCGCCGTGCTGTCTTTGTTTCAAGTCTTAAACACAAATTGGATGCAGTGTGTGCCAAGACCGTACAGATTATTAGACTGAAGCCGTGGGTAGCTGTATCAAAAGTGTTGACATGTTTGAATAAAATAGATTCAAAAAGGATCTCTGGGCTTCATGACATAAACCATTGGGCAGTGTAGGTTGTTGAAAAGAAAATAACAGGGCCACATTTTGCCCTTTAATAGGTGTGTATTAAGATGAAGCCTGCAAAATCAGTTACAACCAAAAGATCCAGTAAGTAATTTTTTGCCAAAGTGTCAATGTAACATTTATTCTTCTTATTAATGATATTTAACCTTCTCCTGGCAAAAACACGATGCTCTATAAACAGTCCCTGAGCACCCCCAAGTGGTCAGATAGTTATATTCTGAATGATTCGGAAGATGGCTTGGACTCCCCTGCTATAGCAAAGACAAGCATTTGACATGCTGAGGTAAGTGACTTAAGTACAGCTATTATTGAGTCATTGGTAAGACTTTTACACAGGATTTTTCACAAATTTCATTGCCATTTCACCAATGTTGGGTAAACCCCCAATGCAGCGTGATCTCAACTACGGTAACATCACAACTTGGTCTCCTATTGGTTGCCCCACTGGTGTGTTAAAGGAGAGAGTAAAACCCATAACAAATCTGAGCATTGGGTATAAAAAATATAGAAATGTTGTTGTGTGCATGAATACACACTAAAGTTTATTAAAAGAATTTAGCATTATTTTTATACAAAAAAATCCCCAAAAAAACTAGGTTGATAGACAGCTATTCAGTGCAGAGACATCTGTGACCAGCAAAACTATGGGAGTCTTCGGCTCACGGTTGCATGTCCCGTCTGCTTTTTACTACAGGCATATTTTCATTTTAAGTATGAGTAAGCCATAAACTATAGCAGTAGAGCTCATAATGTAGCATCCATAAGTGTCGAGCTGGAGCTCGTAGCCCCCTCCTCCCCATCCGCCTTGGCTGCACGGTGAAGCAGCACCCAATCACAGTGTATGGAGTTGGATGGGGGCACAAAGTGTGTGTGTATTTAAGCGGTAAAGCAAGGTATAAAAAATATGCTCCGCACACCTTTCAAATGCAAAGTTTTTAATGTAGAAATAACAAAAAATTCTCATGTGTCTGCTTCATGTCTCCTGTGTACAAGGTCGCAGTGAATGGATTAAGTAATAAAATGTCTGATAGAAAACCAGGTTTGAATATGGATACACAAACATAAAGTACTTAACTTATCACACTTTTTATATGCAATATAAAACACATTAATCTCCTTTTTTCAGCCAACCACTGCAGAGTACATGCACAGAAATTTATAAAGTAAGCATAAACATAAAATGGGCCTAAATATGACACCTTTTGAGGGGAAACACTCATGCGACAGAATTAGCTTTGTTTCCATGCCCAATAAATCTGTGGCAGGTTGGTTGTGCTAGATTCACAAATGCTACAGTATTGCATCCATAGGGAGGTGATGCCCGAACATCAGTCAGTGAGTCATTTTCTACCCCTTATTCCATAGTGGGTCACGGGGGGCTGGTGCCTATCTCCAGCAGTCTATGGGCGAGAGGCAGGGTACACCCTGGACAGGTCGCCAGTCCATCGCAGGGCAACACACAAACAACCATGCACACACTCATTCATACACCTAAGGGCAATTTGGAGTGACCAATTAACCTAACAGGCATGTCTTTGGACTCTGGGAGGGGTTTGGTTTGTTGGGACATGCCAACAACCTGCTTATAAAGTAAGCATAAACATAAAATGGGCCTAAATATGACACCTTTTGAGGGGAAACACTCATGCGACAGAATTAGCTTTGTTTCCATGCCCAATAAATCTGTGGCAGGTTGGTTGTGCTAGATTCACAAATGCTACAGTATTGCATCCATAGGGAGGTGATGCCCGAACATCAGTCAGCGAGTCATTTTCTACCACTTATTCCATAGTGGGTCACGGGGGGGCTGGTGCCTATCTCCAGCAGTCTATGGGCGAGAGGCAGGGTACACCCTGGACAGGTCGCCAGTCCATCGCAGGGCAACACACAAACAACCCTGCACACACTCATTCATACACCTAAGGGCAATTTAGAGTGACCAATTAACCTAACAGGCATGTCTTTGGACTCTGGGAGGAAGCCGGAGTACCCGGTGAGAACCCACGCATGCACGGGGAGAACATGCACACTCCATGCAGAAAGACCCCTGGTTGGGAATTGAACCCAGGACCTTCTTGGTGCAAGGCAACAGTGCTACCAACTGCGCCACCGTGCAGCCCATGCCGGTCCATCAGTCACCTAAATAACTTATTGTCATATGCCATTGAAGCCGAAGGCAGTTAGGCAGCAATGCGACCGGGTTGTTTGGTTTTATTTCAAACTGTTCCTGTTGTTCTCATCTGACTGCTCTATTAAAATAGACAAAATAATGAAGGTACTGAAAATGTCTTTTCAATGCCACATATAAAATAGGCTCACATCTGATCTAAGACCATAAGATCATATAAGGAAAGAATTTGAGCTGTTCTCCTAAACAGCAGAGGCAGAACAAACTGAGATGTTTTCTTCACAGCTCTGCCAAATCTGATTTAGCGACGCCCTAACACTACTGCAACTCAGCACTGTCACTGAGCAGTAAGTGCTCAGGCTGTTTCACTTGATAAATGGCATGCTGACCCCCACCATCTAACTGAGACGAACATAAAATTGTGCTAGCAAGATGGAAGGTGAGAAGTTGATAGGGAATCGCAGCAGTGAGGGTGGTAATAAAGTCACAGTCAGAAAATAAACAGTGAGAAGCCAGCTGGTCAAACTTCTGCCATTAAGCAAATGAGAGGAACGCCCCTCTGAGTCCCACCATCCACATATCTATATCAATGCTGACCAGTAGGCTATCTCAGTTTATCATCCGAGCAACCATCCATCGCAGTAAAAGGCCTACAGGGGGCAATTTAATTCCCTCTCTCTGTCTAGCTCCAGGGCTGGTGGTACAGCGTGTATTTAAATCACAGGAAATATCGCTTACTCCATTTTTTTCTCACTAGACTATTACAGCAGGACGGTGGGGCAAAGACGCCATCCTGTCAGGTAATATTCCCATCCATCCATCCGATTTCATTACCCTGCACTCCTGCCAGTGCTTGGCTGTGCCGTTTCCACCACTGCTCACTAAAAGATAGGCTATCAAAGTTTCATTATTGCACCTGTGTGACTACTATTTCACCACAGGTACAGCTCTGCAAGAGAGAGATAGAACTGCATCTGTTTGGTTACTGGCAGTGCACGCACCCCACAGACCCTTCGACGCACTTCATGAATGTGTGACCTTTTCTCCTGTAGGTCTAAAACCTGTTATTCACTTTTCTTATCTGCAGAAAGAGTTGTTGGAGAGGATAAAAAATCGAAATAAACTACCCAGTGTGCACTGTTGGATTTTTACACACAAGTTGACTTGAACTTTGAGTTTCTGCATTATGTCACATTTAAGCGGACGATGTATGAAGCAAGAGATTTGTTTACATGATTGGTTTGTCCACAAAATTTGGCAGTTATATATTGATTGATAATCCGGCTAATGTTTCTAACTGAAATACAATGTGGCCCAAGAACACAACAATTCAGTTGTTGTGTCCTTGGGCACTTCACCTGACTTGCCTGCTGATGGTGGTCAGTGGGCTCGATGGGGCCTGTGTACGGCAGCCTCACTTCTGTCAGTCTGCCCCAGGGCAGCTGTGGCTACATTGTAGCTCACCAATGTGTGGATGAATGGGTGAATGACTGTTAGTGGTGTAAAGCACTTTGGGGTCTCTAGGGTCTTAATGATGCACAAGTTCAGGCCATTCACCATTTACAAATTTAAAGAAATTATTATGACATTTGTGGGGGAAAAAAAGAGATATTCTTACTTTTATTTTCTAATTTTCTTGAATGCTGGTTTTGTTTGAGAAATCCTGTCAAACATTTTTACTGCAGAAATGTTTTCCTTCAATACAAATAGACATAGTTCCAGTCAGAACTTCATTTATGCATATGGGCATGAATGTCATTAATTATGGGTTATTTTTTAATGGAGTTGAGCTGTTCTTTCACATAACTTTAGTGATTTTTATCAAGAGTTGAGTGCAAGGTTTTAATTACATTTTGTCATGTTCTTTTAACCCCACCCTCCCAACTTCTGCTGGATATCATCACTTAATCAGTTCACCTTAAGAAAGAACAGTTTAAATCAATCATTAAAAACTCAAAATAATGATTATATGTACAGTACATTTTTGAGCAGTTAAACCATCCCAGTTTATTAACTGCACAATAACTATTTTTACTCGATTCTTACATTTTTCCTAATGGTATGTTTGATTATTTATTTATTTTTTGTATTTTGTCTTTACCTTTAAAACAACAAAAAAAGTATATTATGGAATCAAAGTAAACTGGACGTAAAAAAATGCTTTGTGTGTACTTTCACCTGTTTTGTCTGTGGCATTCAAATGACATTATAACCACAGTTAACATGTTTCAACTTACAACCACAGCCCAGAAACACACTGCTAAAAGCCATGTAAACTTGATCGAGGAGGACAAGCACTGTTTTGTATCATGTTTATTTTAATGGTTACAGAACCTATCACTTCTCACCATTTTGCAGCAGAATATTAAAGAAGCAAACCAATGAATATGGCCTAGCAGAGTACTGTACAGTATTTCTTTTTTCTTACGTTGTAAATTTTCCCCCACTGTACAGTCTCTTATTCCTATTTTTTTTTATATAGTTTTTACCTTTGTGTGTCTGCATGATTCCAATTGTTTTTCACTTTGCTGCTGGTACACCCGAATTTTCCCCCAGCTGGACAATAATGGATATTTGTATTCTATCCTATGCATATGAGACATTTAAAATTCAGCACTGTGAACATGCGTGATCAAAATATAAAGCAGTAGCATAATGTAGGAGGTTTTATTAATGCTCTCCTCATATATCTCATATCAGTCTCACTTTAGTGTGCTCATATTAATTGTGTGTCTGTAGAAAAGATTTGCATTTGTAATTTAGTTTTGTGCAGTTTGCGAACCTCTGATCACAGATAAGTGGTAAACTACATGTAGAACTCTGTCCTCTGTGCAGTTGTAAATTTCAGCAGGATACTCATGTCAGTCCCTCAAGGTGGTCGGACAGTGAAGAACATCACAACCACAAATCTTTTCTACAGACATGCAAATATTTTTGGCACACCTAAAAAGAAAATGCTGATTATTTTTACAGATAAACAGACCTTAATTTTGTCTCACTGTTACAATGCTTGATTTACAAGCACAAACTATATATAGCTTCAAATTAAGCTCAAATAACTGTCCAGAGTAAAAAAATCAGATTCCTGTTTTTAATCTGATGCAAAATGTGTCTATTACTTTCCATGTTTTATGTAAGTACTACCAAGCATCCACATGTAAAACTTTGAGTTGATGTTTGACCTAAACAGCCTCTGTGAACAAAGACATAAAGATGCACACGTGTTCTTTTATCCTCCAACGTTATGCGTGTTCACAATTTGACTAAATCATCAGGAATTAATTGCATGGGCACAGACACTGTTTCCACTTGGCCATAAACAGATAGAGACTTCCACAGCAACACAATACATAAAATTGCTGCTGTAGCAGAGGGCAACAAACTGGGAGAAAGAAAAAGGTTTTAGTGCGTGCTGAAATAAAAGTGAAAAAGAATGCCATAGCAGACATTCTTTCATCACCCACCCCCAGCCTCCAGTTTTACACAAAAACTGTGCACCATGGTGCAAAATTATGGATACTAATCAAGCCTTATGTAATCTTCTGGGTCCTTTCTGTTCGTGGTAATAACTTCTGATCTGTACACAATTGGAATTCCTGCCCAGAGGTTTTCTACCAGCATGTTCTAATACGAATATATTCCATGCAGATTTCTACAGAGAAAGAACATGTTAATCACTTCATCCTTCACACTCAGTTATTCTCATCAGGGGCATTTCTGTGAAAAATGTGTGTTGGGGCAGGGATTCGTCTAAAAGTTGCAGGACAGTAGCTCTCCAGGACTGGAGATGGTGATCCCTGACCTAAACTCACATTCTGGGCAAGGAGAGCATTAATCCAGCCAATAAACCAAGAAGTCCATTGTTATTCTGGAGAAGCTGCATAAATTTCAATCTCAGGTGGGATAATCTCCAGACAGGACAGCTCTGCACATCACAAATCTGGCTGTGATGGAAGAGCAGCAAGAAGAAAGACATAAGACGTTTTGTTTTCATTCACTTGCAGGAATGGTGGCCAGTGCAAGAAGTTTAACATTACAGTCCATTTCAGTGTTAAAGACTGAAAGACAGGGTCAAGTGTATCATATGTAGAAGGAGAGCATTAGGTTGTTGTCAGCAGTAGCTCAGTCGATGCCCTCTTTCAGGAAGATGTGACAGCTAACTACAGAGACCGGCCAGGCTTCTAGGAAGAGACAAGAAAACAGAGAGAGAACATAACGTTAAAAGCAGAAATAACAGCAAATAACACAAAATTGGAGGTGGTCAGGATAACCTTAGTGATTCTAACTATAAGCTTTATCAAAAAGGAAAGTGCTAAGCCTGGTTTCAACCGTAGACGGGGTGTCTGCCTCACAGACTAAAACTGGGACTTTGTCCAAATCTTTGTCACCTAAACCTCCCATCCTACTACATACTACTACATCTACCTCTTTTACCCTACCCCCCATCCGCTAATGGAACTACTTCTTCTACTTAGTACTAGGTAGCATCTGGGGGGTCCTTGTCTTGCTCAGGGAACTGTTGTCCTGATTCAGAACCGCTATTCTAATTCTCCATCTCCAGAGCCCCCAGCAGCAGGTCTCCCAGGATAATTCTCATCATCCAGGCTCATCCATCCAGTTCTCATAAGGCATTCACAATTATTTTCTATAAAAGTTTTAAACCTGACATTGTTGTGGCAAGGTCTTTGTCAGTAAAAATATTGTAGTTGAGAAAAAACTCGTAATGAAACAGGTGAGGCATCATCGTACTTCCAAACATTTCATATTGTGCAAAAAAACAAAACACATGCAGTGGAGATTTCATCCAATGAGTTTAACTGTAAATACTATAAAACATGTCTGTCAGAACCATTTGAAGAACCTGGAGAGACATTTACTTCTGGGTTTGTGTCTCAGAGAGCAGCTTCCTGGACTTGTATCTCTGTTTGTGTTTGTGCGGGTGGATTTTGGCCGGTTTCACGTCTGACTTGGCATCAGCGCCTCCCTGACTGTCACGG